AAAGTAATTATCATGGTCATTATAATAATTTGTGAACAATAAAAACTGTCATCATCAATAAAATAATGATATAAACGCACCGGCTCGGAAGGGCGGAAATCATATTATATTGTACAGAATTAGGCGGTCGCGTCTGGGCAGCTATCAAGTGCCGAAACAGTCAAAAGCACACGAGATTGATAAAATGGGAAATCCAAGTGGGCGAAGGACGAAAGTATCGACAGGGGATTCAAAGGCGCCGTCACCAACCACTCAAACTTAAGCGACCGAGACATAAACTTCTGCCTCTCCCCTGTCTCTACCCTCATCCTCTATCTGTGGTCACACAGTGAAGGAAAAAAAAAAACACGCGTTTGCCCAATACCTGATATTCCTCCCAGATTTTATACGCCTCCCATATCATTACAACCCTACCCAGAAGAAGAAGAAGAAGAAGTGGCTGCAGGCCAACAATACCATGGGCATATTGCATGACGACGTAGTGATTATCACGGAACCTGAGAAAGAAGGTGACCCGACCGTTATCACTGTGAATTGTCCTGACAAGACTGGCTTGGGCTGTGATTTGTGTCGCATCATACTCTTCTTCGGACTAAACATTGTCAGGGGAGGTAACCCAATTTTCATATTCTCATCGATCCTTACACTTTGTTTTCCTCGACCAAGTTACTGCAAATAATGGATTTCGCTTCCATTCAAAATACAATTGAAAAGTACCCTAGTTTTTCTTCTTTGTTTGGTTGTTGCTCTGGATCTGAGACTTGAGACATACGGTTATGGCCTGCTTGATGAAACTGACGTATATTAGAGAATCAGTTTCTTTTGAGCTTTGACTCTGTGAAGCTTCACTAATTCTCTTTTGTTTATTTTGATGCAATGAAGACGTATCAACCGATGGGAGATGGTGCTACATAGTATTCTGGGTGGCTGGTAAGCCGGAAACGAGGTGGAATTTGTTATTAAACAGGTTAATTGCTGCGTGCCCATCCTGTTCTTCTGCTTCTGGAATTTCTTACTACCGCTCTGAATTGCAACCTCCCAAGCCTCCAGACGTCTTCCTATTAAAGTTCTGCTGCTTTGATCGTAAAGGGCTTTTACATGGTAAATTTAGAAACTTTCTCTGTGAATCCGAGTCTTAACTATCAATACTGCTGATTGTGACTATTATTGACCTGTCCAAGACGACTTACTTCTTAGCAGTCTTGATATTACAACATTCCTTTTCTTCCTACTTCTTGACAAATCTGAACGTTTTCCTATCTCCTCACTGTGTATTGTTCAGGGGATAGGGATGTGTGTGTGTGTGTGTGTAGCCTAAATCTGCAGAACTGTCCAAGATATGTTGATGATGAATTATTCGATTTCCATCATATCATTATTGTCTGGTCACACGGTTGTTACACTCAAATGATTGAATTTCCTTATTACTGTGACAGATGTGACAGAAGTTCTATGCGAGCTAGAGCTTACCATAAAGAAAGTGAAGGTATCTACTACACCCGATGGAAAAGTGATGGATCTGTTTTACATCACTGACACCAGGTTGGAAGCTCCTTATGTTGTCATTTGCTATCCTTCAGTTGCTTCTTCATTATAATTAAAGTGTCGTTTAGATTCGGCGGCCTGATTCTGTATTGTGGATTTACTGATACTGGATTGAAGTGTTTTGAAAATAGCATTAAAAAGTGAAGCTTGAGTACGACCGATGTGTTAGCTGAGTTTAGACACTCAAATGGAAACAATCTTGTGCAGATTTTTTTCAGACTTGTGTCGTCCTCATAGTGATCCCATTCTAACGCCTGTAGAAAAATTGTGTGTCAGTTCAAGGAAATGCACTAAGACTTTTCTGGCATCTTTTAAATATTTGATGGTTTTCCTCGAAAGATATAGAATACGATTTAGGAGAATTTGAAGCTAGTTAGCTGCTGTACAAAATGTTTATTGGTTGAAAACTCCATCTCCTATAGCTTTTTAACGTTGTATACGTGGCCTTATTACTATATCAGAGAGCTCTTGCATACAAAAACGAGGAGGGAAGACACAATTCAACAGTTGAAAGCTATTATGGAGGATGTTGTAGTGAGTATTGACATTGAATTGGTCGGCCCAGAAGTCACTACTTGCTCTCAAACATCTTCATTCCTTCCAACTGAAATCACAGAATATGATTTTGACAAGGAATTGTCTGATTCAGTTCGAAGTGCAACTCTCACATCCGAGAGTGTTTCTATCACGATGGACAACCTGCTGAGCCCTTCTCACACGCTTGTTCAAATCATTTGCCAAGATCACAAAGGCCTTCTTTATGATATCATGAGAACTCTCAAGGACTACAACATTCAGGTAAACATACTAAACTCAAGTCTGAAGACATGATGTTAGCCTTCTCTGCATTTGCATGTATTAATAAACCTAATGGTGTGATTGCGGGGCAGATTTCTTATGGGAGGTTCTCAATAAAATCAAGAGGGAAATGTGACATAGACTTGTTCATAATGCAAGCAGATGGCAAAAAGATAGTGGATCCTAACAAGCAGAGGTGGTTATCCTCTCGCCTGAGGATGGAACTGATTCGTCCACTCAGAGTAGCAGTAATAAGTAGGGGTCCTGATGTGGAGCTGATGGTGGCAAACCCTGTGGAGTTGTCCGGCAAAGGAAGACCTCTTGTTTTTTATGACATTACTCATGCTCTCAAGAAGCTGGGCATCTGCATCTTTTCGGTACTTACTCAAAAATTGCGCCTCCTTTTTGTATTGTTCATATTGGTTCCATAGAATGAATGACATTGATTAATGTTGAACAGGCTGAAATTGGAAGACACGAGATTAGGGACCGCGAGTGGGAAGTGTATAAGGTTTTGCTTGATGAAGGTGAAGGATTGAGTGTTGCAAGGAACAAGATTGAAGAAGGAGTCTGGAAAATGTTGATGGGTTGGGAATGAACCCATGGTTGCCGACACTGTCCCTTTCGGAGGGACCTCTATATGTACAGTGCAATTTGGTCTGTTACTGTTATCATAGCTATTGTTAGATGTAATTGGGCATGTATATGTGGTGAAAATGATTTTTAGTATTCGATAGTTTTTTCAGAGCTGCTGTAGTTCTAACCTAATGTACAGAGATGAGTAGGCAGAAGCAGTTAAAAAGGGCAGAGTACGAGAAGCTTATTATGAATGAGAAGTGAAATATTGTAATGTGGTATAACATGTGTATTCATCTCTTTCTCCCTCTAGTCTATAATATGATTTACTTACATATTGACACGTTCGTTGAATGGGAATTGCTAAGCACTAGGTAGCTGGGCCTTAATTTGTGAGCAACCAGTGGCACTTATTACAGCATCTTCATTAATGGCATTTACATTGCGTGGACTGGGTCTTTATTTGCGGCTGTTCCTGACGTCCCCTGCATGTGATTGAGAAGAGAGATCCATTGTCCACTGACTCAGAGATTTGTCCACGATTCGGTAGCTCCGCTGTCGTGTGGTCCTTGGTTTCATTGAAACAGTGTCATAAACTAGGGTTGAGGATATAAAATCAAGAAGATTCCAAAGCTTTCATTATCAGATTTTAATAGGAGATTGGGCTTATAATTAAATTCTGTGAATAGTTGTGACATGTCCTGCTTGCGATAATCCTCCCCAGGTGTTTGCCTTTAGATATTTTTTTGAGACGCGCTTCACTGGTCATGGATTGTGATTGCAGATATTGTGAGTTTCTAGTCGTCCCGTGTTGAGTTATCAACTGCTCGGAAAACGCCAAACATAGATGTCTTACTCGCTGTCTGATCTTTTCCCGGGCGCAATTCCTATTTACACGTTGTAGGTTTCTTTTGTTTTGGGTTGAATTTGTTGAGAATAAGGAAAAGCCTCTCATTAGGTGGTGTGACCTCAAAAATTCCTGCCGTTGCCGTCAGGATCTCGTTTTTAAAGATTTTGCCTGTCTTTCCTGGCCGTTTGTCAGCATCAACAATGAAGCTTGACATGGACAAGATTCCTGGGTGTTTTTGACGAAAAACAGTGTTGTTTTATTTTACATAGTGCCGTTGATACAACGTTTTTGCTCTTTCTCTCTCTCCCTCCCTCGTCTTTTTATACCCGGAATCAATTTTATTTTAAACATTGTCGAGTAATTTTTTACGTCTGGATTTAAGCGGACCCTGCCACCTGTCACTAGAAAACTACAAGTGAATAAATAATCATTTTCCTGTTAGCCATCTACAGTTAGCAAATTGGGATTTTTCTGCCGCGCTGTTTCCTTTTGTGACAAATGTAAACTTAAAAATGAGCTTCGCTTTGAATCCTCGTAGGTTCGGTTCACACTTAACCAAACGGGAAATATCTGTCATTTTTAATCTTGCCTTATTTATTTTAGATTTTTAATTCAACTTGGTGATCCCATAAGCAAGACACGAAATCTAAAAGAAGCGTTATATATGACTTGTGAATTATATATTTTATGAGAAAACTTATATTTTATCTTTTTTTTTTCTAATTAGGTTCTTCGTTTTTAATTTGTTTCGTCTTTGTTATTCTCATCATATTCGTCCAATATATTTTTTGAATATGAAAAAAAAAGTTAAAGAATAGCTTTGAAATGTTGAAAAGGGTTTAAGAAACTATTTTAGAATGTTAAATAAAACTAAAGAGTAATATAACAAAAATAAAAAAATTCATCGACCTTAATTAAAATACAATGGATAAATTAAAAGGTCGAAATAATAGTCAACTCTTTGATTATTTTTATACCAATTTGACACAGATATTATTGATGCATTGAGAAAGCAAACGTGTTTGTTATCAAAAAAAAAGAAAGCAAACGTGTTGAGGAATTGGGTGATTCTTTTGAATGAGGATCCCTAAAGCTCATACCTGGAGGAGTTTTCTTAAGCGTATCAAATGAACATTTCTTTTATTTATTTTTCTTGATTTGTAAAAATAATGCCAACACCTCACATGTTTCACAAAAACACACCGCGTATGGAGCTTCTTCACCGAAAGACTACTTCAGGGATCCATCTAGATTCGCTTTCTTTCATATTATAACATAAGGAAACATTTACATGATATGGAGACAGAAACTCCAAGCTAGAATAACATGGAAATATGGTACAATAACAAGCAAGGACAAATTTCCCTGGGACAAATCGAAGACGTTCTAGGCATTCTATCCTGTGTTAGACTTACAGCTTCCAATAGATTCCTAATCTGTGGCAGATTCCAGCGACCACAGCCCAGAAAGTGATCTCTGCAAATATGACATACAAGAGGGTTCCCACCCTCTCTGAGCGCCACACATCCACGAATACGTGCTTTTGAATCCAGTGTACCTATTTCATCACGTCAAATCTGGTTAATTAGCTTCCATTCCAACTAGGAAGTTATTGAAACTTTTACGATGAATCAAGGGATACTGATTGTGCCTCTTACCAGCGAGTGTTTTGGATCTGTATAATACCACCCATTCACAAATGCGGCGAAGATTCCCTGAGCTGCCATCACATATACTAGCATTGCGTTCATTCCTATCCATTCCAAGAACAAGAATGGTGTCCGAAATCCCCACACATCGATCTGTATATCAGGGAAAGTGAAGCAGAGTGATAATAAGGTCCAAAGTTTTGTTAATTTTTGAAGAAAGAAATTAAAACTGATGCTTTTGGTAGTTACCAGCAGGTAAAAGCCAGAGAAGACAATTCCAGCTGCCCCAGCTGTGAAGCAAACGTAGCTGAAGCTGTAGAGTTGCTTGTTCAGTGGGATAGCTGCATTCAATGCATGGCAAAGTTTGTAAGGTTCATCTTGAGGGAAATGGCATATACAGTAGTTTATTTTAAGACGTCATTGTCTCAGAAACTCACCATCTGTGAAATGAAGTATTATGGCAACCACCAGTAACACGATTGCCAAGGAGACCCATTGCTTGAGCCTCTCCGAATGACGCTGCCCAAATAAATGTTCACGTTTGTATCTTCAATAACTTGCATGTAAATAAAAGATATAATTTATCTGTGAGTGGGGAGAAGTCTGTAACCTTAAAGTGGATCAAGACGTGCCCATAATGGATCCCGATGGCACCAGAGAGGATAGCTGATATAGAACTAGATAACAAGGAAAACAATTATTCAATCCATGTTTAATTGGTTAACAACATCTAACGTGACTAATTTCGTATAAGAGCTCATTCTGGATTGTGGAATGAAAGGCAAAAGAAATAAAAGAACCTCAACAATCCTTCGGGTTCAAAGGGAGCATGACACCAAGCCGGAGCATCTTTACGAAGAGGACCTTGAGCAGGAGAGCTCAATGTGCACGCCTAGATACATAAAAATAGAGAATTAGGAGAGGACTTGAAAGAGCACTAGTCTGAGCTTATTAAACAAAGGTGTGTTTAGGTATGCAAGTGTCGATGAATAGGAAAAGGCAGGGTTGGTTCTGGGCATATCTAACCTTCAACCGAGTCCAAACAGGCTGAGAATAGAGATGGTTAACCCCCCAAACTTGTCGATCCACGTATCCCACGGCGTTGCATGCAGGCCCCAAGTGTCCTCTCATCCCGCAAATCACCTAATAAATTGTGAAAATAATCACAGAATAAAACAATAGCCAAAACAAAACAAAGCAAATACATGCATTGAGTGTTGCTGAGAGAGGAAGTGTACCGTATATTTCTTGGGTTCGTCTTGACTATGATCGACGAAACTCCAATCTGGAACATAGAGAGCGAAGGTTGTAACCATGTAAATGGTGAATGCCACAAAGCCCCCAATCCTATGCCATGCATTTCCGTCAAATTCGGGGTATATTTCAGAGCTACAAGGTGTGAATATGGAATCGTGATGTTGCTATCTTAATTCTTACCATTGCCATCGATAGGCGGTAAAAATGGAGAGGTGTCCCGGGCTCAAGGTGGTTGGCCTAAGCTTGGTGGTGAATGTCTCTATCAGGGCCACGACACAGTATACGAGAGCTATTCTCTGCACTCATATTAAAGTGGCCATACAACAAACTATAAACTAGAACGGCTCTGAATTATATTGTTCTTTTTTAATTTATAATCTCCAAACCTGGAGAATGCCGCACCACCGGATGAATTTCATGTCGACTCCGTAGGAGAGATCATCGGGAGCATGAGAGTATCCACCTGTAGTATTTTAGACACACACATCAGTGTAGTATTTAATATATATGGAGCATATTCTTTTATCATAGCTAGCGCTTATCACATTTGAGGACTTTTGACTACCTTGCAGAAGAATACCCCAAAATAGAAGCTTCAAGGTCCTAAGTATTATCTTCTTTACGGCATCCCTCATCTTGGGAACTCTCTGCAATCATTGTGAGAGCACAGTGTTTATCACTGATATATGTCTGGACGAATTTATTCGTTCTCAGTATATGTATGATCGAGCAGTGGCAACTAGCCTTGCTTATATTGCCAAGTTATGATTCAAGCAAATAATTTTAGGCTGACACGGTTTAAAGAAGAAAGAGCACAGTTGTGAAAGTTGGAATGAAAACGAGAGCGTACCTTGAGAGCAAGGGCTATGGCAACCCCAACAATGAAAAGAAAGAAAGGCATGACAAAATCAGCCAATGTACACCCATTCCATGGGGAGTGATCGATTCGAGGATAAGCTCCACCAGCATCGTCCACCAGTATCATCAACTGCACCGAAACATTCACACACACTCAAACAGGATTATCAAAACCCACATGTTTTACTTTAAAGCCAGCAGTGGAGTAATATACACCATGAAGTTTTCTCTGTGCGTGACTGCGTGTATGTATTTAGACAGGATGTAGACTAACCACTACGGTGAGGCCTCTAAATGCGTCCAAGGTTGCAATCCTCTTGGGTTTCTGCTTCGCAAGCGGCTGCTCCTGCTCTATTTGCTGAACGGTGTCACTCTCCACCAGTGGTGCTCTTGTTTCTTTCTGATGCTCAAGCTCATCTTCAATGGAGTCCTTCAAATCATGGTTCCGATCTGAATTCCGGCGCCCTTCCTCCATTCTCCTAGCTTCAACATCCATGGCTTCTTCAATATCAGCGTCGAAGCCCTTCTCTCGGTAGAACGAAAAGGTGTCGAGAGTGCAGGGGCAATAAATAATTGCGGAGAATTACAGAGAGAGACAGAGGACAACGCCGGCCGAGTTAGCTTGCGCTCGCAAAGATGAGGTGGGCCATATATATATGTGTGTGTATAAAATTATAAAGAAACTTCGGTGCTCACGTATTGAAAAGAGGCAGATTAAAGGCTTCTCTCGTGAACACTAAAAGCCGGAACATGGTCTCCATGATCGAATTGAATAAAGTGAAACCGTGAGATCAGCAGTAGCATGGTTCAGGCTCTGAAGTTAAAGAAGCAAAGAAACAAACAGATAAGAGGCTGGTGGGGTTTTACTTTTCGTACAAGGGTGTGTTTGGATGAAACCAAAACGTGATTTGGAAAAGTGATTCTGGAGAATAGATTCCGCGGAAAATAGATTCTGTGAAGAATAGATTTTGTAAAAAGTGATTTTGAGAAGTGAGAGTGTTTGGATAGTTGTTATCAGAAGCATTTTTATATATACAAATTACTAAAAAAAAGACACAGTTAATATGATAATTACAGAAAAAATAGATTTTATGATATATTTTAATTTGAAGGAATAAAATTGTTAATAATATGTTTTTTACCAACATAATTAATAATACATAAAATAATATAATTAATAAATAATTAATGTGTATATATATTTATAAAATATAAGATTAAATATATTTATAAAAAATATGTTTATAAAAAAAATAACAAGATACATATCATATAGGCCCTCATACTCGCTTTTTTCTCCAAAAGCAAAAAAATTTTGCTTTTTCCAAAACCATAGTTTTGGTTTTTGAAGAGGGTGTTTGGGTAGATTATTCCCCAAACCATGGTTTGGGACGTCACCCAAACACACCCTAGGCCTAATCCAGCCCGTGGGTTGTTTCTTCTTGTCGCTGGCTAGTTTCGCAGACTCTGTTTTCTAATAATTAATAGTCCAAGTGTGGGTCTCATTTCGTAACCTATAATTTATTTTAATTTTGGGTTGGAAAATAAATTATATAGTTAGATCGCACAGCAAAGAGGTGCTCACATTTAAAGGATTGCCTATGTATAGGGGGAAAAAAAGAATAATGCTTGAAAGTACATATCAATCATCAGTATATAACATATACATTAATTGATGCCTTTTTATTTACCCAGACGGGAACAGAACGGAATCCGTCGATTCCTGCATTCTTCCTTGTTCATGCTGTGGCCGGCGATTCCACCACATATCTTAATCTTAATTATGTCAATTTACATTATATGATATTACTAATATCAGAGCAGGGTCTAAACTTTGACGTGTTGTCAAGGTCACGTGAGTGCTAACATTTAATTCATGTTCCTACCGTGATTTAACAGGAATTAATATTTTAGTCCTCAATTTTATCTTAGTTCGCATGATAGGCAGTGAATTTAAGTTTTTCTTAAAAGCGCCACTTGATCCAGTATGTCTCTGTTTTTCGTGTTAATTCCTCAAGTAGCAGGATGCTTGAGATCTCCTCATCGTTGGCGTGGCTGGTGAAAGAAACTGGGGGGAACATAACTAATGGAGATGGGAAGGTGGCA